AGGCTTAGTGATCTGGAGTACACTCCACATCCTGAGCCTTCTTTGGTTTCTGAGCCATCTGTATATATGCGTATTGCATTTGACTCTGTGTTCTGCTTAATTTGTATTTTGTAGGGTTTATTTAACAGAAACCTGGGTTCAATTGCATTACTTGTTGCCTGCAGCAGAGGTTGCATTGACCCATTCCTACTTCGAAGTTTACATCAGCCATGCGCAATCGTACCATGGCCATTAACTATACACACTTTAGCAACTTTTGATACGTTATAAAGGTCAGATCAGACCTTGTTTGGAGTATTGTTCTCATGTATGGAGCTCTACCCCCAAACATACCCTGAAGTTGCTGGATTTCATCCAGAAATGAGCCATCCGCCTGATTGGAGACCCGAACATCACGTGCAACCTTGATAGCCTGGAACATCGAAAAAGAGTTGGAGATTTGTCTCTCTTCTATAGATACTTCCACGGAAGGTGTTCAAGTGACTTGGTACATTTGATTCTACCAAAAGCGGTACACAACCCAAATACGCGTCGGACAGTGACTGCTCATTTTTGGGGTTCAACTCAGTACATACACCTTGACCTTCACTGTTCGAAAACTCTTTCATCTGGAGAACTGCGTTTATATGAAATAAACTTCCTGAGAACGTTTTTCCAAATGGATTTAATCTTCAGCGATTCAAATTCAATGTGAATCGCTACTTTCGCACAGGCACCGCTCTGAGAGAGCTTCAAGAATATTCCTGTAGTGCTTGTGTTTTGTCCTTAAAAAAATCGCAATGTTCACAGATTTTATTGAAGCCACTGCACATAAAATTCAACGGTGATCGTAGCATAACATTTGTGCGTGATGCTTCGCAATTGAACTTCCGGTTGTCTCGATCTCCGCTTCTTGCTACTAAGAAATTGATCTCGAGTAAAAGAACCGTACTGTCAATATTGTTGTTAAGTAATTCATGCAGGAATTTTATACCAAGGATAACTTTCCTATTTTCCAAAGATTCCATATCAAATCGTGCTAACAAAATGTTATGATCAATGCCTACTTCCTAAATAAAAGTAGGCAAAAACATCTCTCCTTACAACATCATATATGTGATCGATAGAAGAGTCAAACTCCGCTTAGCAAAGTCAGTCTGCTCGAAAACTAAGCTTTGACATGGTCATTGGCATGAACCTTGGGGATTGTGGATATCTTGAATAAGAGAAGTTTTAGTGACCATGCTTACAAATGTTCAGGATTGTAATTTAAGGTAAGTTGGACCATCTTCACGTGGTTCAGCCTATTACCATTGATAGAACAGCCCACTGATAGATGACTATATCACAAATGATTTCTTTCTGGGTTCTGCTTCTGAACTGACGGATTAATTGCGTTTTTCCAGGTATGACAGTAAGGAAAGGAATATTGATTGTGTTCTTCACCATTAAATATTCGAGTTGATATATTAATGATGTCCTCCAATAATAAGTGATAGGAGCCCTTGCAGGAAGTGTGTTTGAAACTTTCTTATTATAAAAAGTTCAATCTTTTGACAGTTCATATTTGTCACAGAACAAACACCATTGAAAGAAAAAAATGAACTATTGGAAAATGGGGAACATTTATTGAACACGAAAGATTTGTAGTTTTCAGTGTTTTCTGTAAAATTCTGAACAGATCCAAGAAAAAAATGTTTTATTTGCGTGCTACGTTTGACTGAAATAACCAGTATCTTCAATTGAATTATCTAAATGAACATTTCGTTCGGACCAGTCTCAACTCACCTACATTGTAAGTTAATGGACTGAAACCTTTCAAAAATGACCGCTCCCCTGGCTAATATCACGAAGGGCGTTGGATTATATCCGTCAGGTGTCATTGCAGGATTATTTACAGAAGCAATTCCTGCATATCCTGCTGGCGATGCAACTGCCGATATCGATTTTCAATTATTGGAACGGGCACATTTGCAGACCGGTTTCGGGTTAATAAGATTCTCGTCATAATTAAAAATCGAATTCTTTTCAGAGGTTCATTCCTCGAACAAGGCTGAAACGAACGACAAACAACAATTTGTCATCACTCCATCTGCCCGTGAAAGAGGTGCTCACGATCCGCATATCCAAATCGCCCAGTTCCTCGTATAAGGGTCATAACGGAAGTGTCATAATAGAAAGATATTTACTTGAAACTTCAGCAGTGTTTACTATAAAATTTATAATCATCTGTGGGAAGACATGTATAGACATCATTGGCATTTTCATTAAATAATGAAGATGGAAAACTTCCTGTCCATCATTTTTGGTTTCGATAAAAATGTAAACATGCCTATTTCTGTTTCTCGGTAGATTTCCGCAGAGACAAGAACTATCATCTCTATGAGCACACAAGAATAAATAAGTATGAGCGTTCAACAATAAAAATAAGCTCAGATATACAAGGAAATAAAAATTTACGTATTTGAAAGCGTGCTGACTCACCTGTATCCACTATCACATCTATCAGATCCATGCTCTTCGCAAAAGCGTCCCTAAGATTAATGTGATGGAATGATACTATGCTGCCCTCTCGCTTGGCCCTTTCCAGCGCCTCCCGACGTTTCAGCGCCTTCTCCCTCCTCATTTGGTTCTTGTAGAACTCGGCAAAATTATTAACAATGATGGGAATGGGCAACGCAATTACCAAAACGCCGCATATACAACATACGCTTCCTATTACCTTCCCCAAAGGGGTGGTGGGATAGATGTCACCATAACCCACGGTGGTCATGGTGATACCGGCCCACCAGAAAGTCTCTGGAATGCTAATGAACTTTGTGCCCGCCTCTTCCTTCTCCGCGAAGTAGGCCAGGCTGGAGAAAATGAGGACCCCCATCGCAAGGAAGAGCATCAGCAGGCCTAGTTCTTTGTAGGAGTTACGCAGAGTGAACCCTAGCGATTGCAACCCGGTGGAATGTCGAGCAAGCTTGAGGATGCGCAGTATCCTCATGATTCGAAACACTTGAACTACGCGACGCACGTCCTGGAACTGGTCCGTGGCGTTCTTATTGGTTTCTAACAGGAACAGGGAAACGAAATAAGGCAATATGGCTAATAAATCTATTATGTTCAGGCCGCCCTTGAAAAACTTCCACTTGTTGGGCGACGCACTGAATCGCAAAATGTACTCCAGCGAGAACCAGGTGATGCAAACGGCCTCCACCATGGCCAGCTGAGGGTTGTCTTGGAAGTTACCCTTTTCGTCGTTATGCTGCATGCTTGGAATGGTGTTGAGTGTGAGTGCTATTGTTGACAATACGATAAATAAGATGGAAACGATGGCAATGACCTGGAAGATATCGACAGTGTCACTTCTTCGGTTCGGAGCCAGACATTCGTCTTTCGATTTGGATGGTGAGATTTCGGGAAGGTTTCGGGATACATCAATATGAAAGTGACCTCGTCGAAGTGAAATGTAATTATAATAATAAAACCAACTTCATTTTCCATTTTACATTATCATTTTTTCTAATTTGTGTGAGTAATGATGGGCGGAATTCAGCTTTTTTAAAAATGATACAGAACCTCATAAAGCGCCTTATAACGGAAAAGTAGATAAATACAAAAAATTCTTACCATAGTTGTCGTGTTCTGTTTCATCAATAAAATCATTTTCAAATTTTCATTAAACTGATCTCTTTCAAACTGTCTATGCGATATTTTCTTGTGATGTTATGAAATTGATATATTTTTTCAAGAATCAGTATGACCACCGAATTCTATACTTATTCTATGACCTGAATGTTTCTGCATAAACTGATCGTAATGATCAAAAATAACGTATTTTTTATATCTATTCCAAACAATACAATGTAATAGATATTATCCATAGATGATATTGGTCGTAGGACGTTAGCCGTTTTGCTTGACGTGGGTGGTTTGCTCCACCCACTTAATCGATCGCTGTGTGACCAGGTGGTTCGAACCACAAGGCCGAACGATCGATTTTCAAACAGATTTATGTGTCAATTTCAATGTTCAATGATTAATAGTAATCCAGACCTTTTTTTTATGATTACACTTACCGTTACCAAAAAAAATGCAAAACCCGATTTTATTAAATTCTGACCTTCAAGGACTTTTCATATTTTATTTATAACAGTGTATTTACGACTTGTAATAAATTTTAGGCTTTATACGAATCATACTAAGCTTACCATTTTTTCGCCTATTTTGATTACTGAGTATGCCGAGAATTCGTTCAAAACAAACATAGACAGTTTGAATATTGTCATATTTCAATTGAAATCAATCAATCAACATTTGATTCTTTCTGGCAGTTTGGGAGTGATGAAATATACAGTGTGTTGATGAAATGAAGCGCACTACTTACATTCACGTCGAGAAATCCTTCAACTTGAAAAAATTGATGGTTCTAAACTGGTAATTACTTCTAATGTGTACTGCTTTAGTTGTACATCAATCGTTTATGAATATCCTTTTGAAATAGTTACAGTATCTCTTAGATTTTTTACGTCATTTCGACATTACATCATTGGAAAAAAATCGAATTTCATTTATATTATAATTTTTTCTGGCAAGCGATCACCTACGGATCATTACTATTTAGTTGTTTCAAAACTTTTGTCCGTTTTTATGAGTTTTCTTCGAACTGTTCTTATACTTATTCAATTTTCAACACAAGTGAATTGATTCTATCAGCATAAAAGTTGCGTGCTCAATGAAGTCGACGAAGGCCATTTTTGCCTGGTCCTTGGCGAAAGTTATACCGGTGAGAAAGTTATCGAAGTGCTTGAAAATATCGTAGTCGGTAATATGTAATATTTAAATCAGTCCTGTGGGTTGGGCTAACTATCAGGCGCGTCCCCAGGTGGCGGCTAGGGGAACGGCCAGGGGACTGGGGGCCTGTCCGGGAAGCCAATGTGACCTTACGGACGGGGTCGCTGGACTCTTGGTCAGTGGCAGAAATAAGTAGGGTGAGGGGAACTAAAACTCCCCAAAAGCCTTTGCAAAAACATGCCACAGTGGACCAGCCTACCAAAGCTAAGGTGTAAGGAATCGTGCCGACAGCTGAATGGCCGCAGGGTGGTATGCGGTTACGAACAAAATACAAAAACAAAAACCAATCCCGAAGCTGGACAGAAGTGCTCACCTCAATCTATGTCGGTGGCTGGGGATGAACAGAAATGTCCATCCCAATCTACCGCTTGGAATGAGGATGGACATAGCAGATCACTTCGTGATGTAATGCAAAAGCCAAGGCGTAAGCGCATTTGCGGCGCCGAGGCCAAAAGGAGAATGACAGCGAAAGAGGCAGAAGTGGCAGCAACTATAAGTGCACCTTTCTCCTCCCCCACTCCACCTCCAACAGCAAGGGAACTTTCTGCGGTGGGCGCCAAGAGCTCCGTCTTGAATAATGGCAAGGAACCGGCTGCCCCTGCAGGAAAGCGCCCTCACTTGAGCACCTCCATGAAAGTCGAATTATTACGTCACCATAAAAATTAGGTGATCGGCATTAGATGGAGTCGACGAAGGGCTTTTTTGCCTGGTCCTGATTGGCGAAGATTCTACCTGTGAGAAAGTTATCGAAGTGCTTGATAAGATAGTCGTCGATTGGCTAGAGGTCTGGGAAGTATAGTGGGTGAGGCAGAACTTCGACGCTCAATTCGTTTAATTTTAGGACGGTGATATGTGAAACGTGAGGACAACATGCGTTATCGTGGAGCAGGATCGGACCTCTTCTGTTGTAGTGTAGGAAAAATAATAGAAAGTTTAGTTAAAATGCACCTCTGCCCCTTAGAAGCAGAATTTTGGAAAGTGTGGGGAAAATAATGGAAAGTGTAGTGAACATTTACCTCTGTCTGTTTGAAGGTGATTGACAATGTTTCATGATGAATTTCACTAGTTCGGACTTCCATTGTCTAATAAGTAAAATGATTTGAACTCCCTGAACATATGTTGCGTAGAGGTACGCAACATATGGAAACTTATCATCAACCGAAAAATGGCCAACTCCTGTCAAACGGTCATCTCCCACTGAACCAGTGAAGCGGAGGGGATAAGTGAAAGTACTCGAACTAACGTGGCTTGGAATGTCTTAACTTCTCTATTTAAATTTATTTGTATTTCTTTATTTTTTTGTTCAATCGTTTTAATTTTACTTGTATTTTATTTCACTATTATTTCATTTCAGATTATTTTTGGTTAATATAATTTTTATTTTCGGCTATTTATTTTTAATTCTTCTTTTTCAGTTGTTTCGGGGATTTCAAATCATTTTATATATTAGACAATGGAAGTCCGAACTAGTGAAATTCATTTACCTTTGTCGTCTGGAAACAGATTTTCCGCAAAGTATAGTGTAGTGGAAGCAGATTTTCGGAAAGTATAGGAAAATAAAGTGTGGTGAAAACTTACCTCTCTCTGTCCTTTGGGAGCAGATTTTCGGAAAGTGTAGGCAAAATAACGAAAAGTGTATTGAAAATTTACCGATTTCTCGTCATTAGAACTCTAGAGCGGGCAGCGGTGAGATGATAATCATATTATTCGATATATAAGGCTATTTTGGTGGATATTTCGAAATAACCGAGGAATGAAATTTCGAAAACTAACACCGAACATTATGTTCATTGCCAAATGCCTAGGTAATTTTTCTGGCTGTTTCAGCAACGCTCCAATTTGAATTCGTAGAGAAAAATTTGCCGAAAATTGACCAACGACATCATATAGTAATAAGCTGAAAAGTGGCGAAAAATTTTGAAACAACCAATAATGATTATCACCATGAAAGGTTCACAAACCGCGAGATATTATTCGCTTATGAAATATGTCTTTTATTCTGTACTGGATTTCCAAATTGAATATTTTCTGGCTCACAATACGTATTATATACCTGCCGGAATGACTAACAACAAAGAAATTAATAAAATGAATGAAAAATCATGAAATGAACGTCAAGTTTGCGTTAATAAATCAATGACAACTTCAGTTGATGATAAACCTGCTACATGGCATTTCAAATTCCACCGGAAAATTTATAATATCAAAGCATTTTTCTCTAAACCCATTTACATATTTCCGAATCAAACATTAATATTTCTCTCTAAAGAGGTCACCTTCATATTCAAATTACAGCCCAATAACGATCGTTCAGAAGGATTGAGATTCACAAGAAAAATGTAGGGAAAATATACCGAAATTCCGAAAGAACGTGTTCTTCGTATGGAAAACCCAGATTGTTCCTATATTCGTATCATCTGATACTCAATAAATACAGCGTTTCCAAAATACTCATTTTTTGTTCGTTCACACTGGAATAAGAACTCAAACAGAACAAGAGTTCATATTTTTCAAGTTTCATTTTGCTCCATTTCCTAAATTTTGTATGAAGCGGTCAAAAACTTTGTTTAATCCAGAAGATATAAAAATTGTTCAAAACATTTCTGTGAGAGGAACATGAATTGTGAAGTTTTGTAGAGCAGTGGAATCAATTCAGTTAACTATCGAAATTTTGTATTATCATTTCTGTACCTAAATAATGTTGTTTTCGAAAAGGAAAATCGGAAACAGAGGAAAAACTGCGTATAACCTTAAATTTTGTCCATTTCTGAAGACGAAGGCAGATTTTAGCCTCCAAAACGTTGTGTAATTTCCTAGCTCTTTTTTTATAGGCAACATTCTTTAATACAAGTTACTGATAAATAGCACACTTTTGTTTGTGAAAAATATTTTGAATTCACGCAGTAACTTTTCGGGGACTAAACAGTTTGCTCTTTCTAAACGTATAGAAAGAAAGGTGCAAAGACTTGCGTGTTTGGGAATGACGGGAGCAATGAGAACTACCCCAACAGCTGCATTGGAGACACTCCTGAATCTACCTCCTTTACACTTTGTGANAAATGAAATGAAAATGTTAATTACGAAATGTAATATATAACATTTAGTGTTCTTTGTTTTCGAACCTTTCAAAATAACGAGTTTATGATCCATAATGATAGTATAAATGATCAACATGATAAAATGAATAATATCCATATCGATTAATTTTCTTTATATGAGTTATAGTGGAAACTATCAACATTTCTGAAACATCATAATATTTTGAAACAAATCAGGTTTGATTATTTTTATATCTTCACAATCCATCGTCGATTATAAACGCCTCATACAAGTGAAACCTTCTTTTCATCAATATACATTGATGACGTCCTTTTTTTTCAACAAAGAATGAATATTTTGAAAACAGCCCATTTTGATAGAGCTTTACGCAAACAAAAGTATTACAAACTACGTTGGGTGTCCCATTTGAAAGAAACGAGGTATTTTATT